CATGTCTTTGAATCAAGAGTATGATGAGCAACAGTCAATATTCCAATAAAAGAATATGTAGAGGGTGAAAAAGAAATACCAAGATTTTCTGACTGAGAAGAACTAGCAACTGCAGAGTTACTAGGAGAAGCCTGTAGTTGAGAACTGAACATTGCAATGAATTGCTGAATTTGATCTTTATTCATGTTGCTCACCATGTTCTCCAGACTAGATTGAGTATCAGTAGACTCTGTAGTTGTCAAAGCAACATTAGCAGCCAGAGGTTTTGGTTTCTGAAATTATCACCAACCTTTCCTTTAGGTGTGAAACCTGGAGGAAAACCATGCTTCTTGTAGCACCTTTCAGCAATATGTCCCACCCTATTACAGAATGAACAAATTGGTCTTCCCTTATTAGGACCACTTTGAACATAACAGATAGTAAGATCCATGCTATTAGAAATAACAGTCTCAGACACTTGGAAAACAGTAGGTGGAGCAACAACATTAGAAAATCCTTGTTGACTATTGTCTTGATCCAAAATGTTATACACCTCTGCCAAGCTAGGGAGAACTTTCTTAGCTATGATCTGTCTACGAACAATCGCATAAGACTCATTCAAACCAGCCAAGAACTTGACAATCTTAGCTCTCTCTGCCTTCTGTTGCAGACGAGTAGCTTTACCACATGTACACGGCTCATCCAATGCCTCTGTACTATCCAATTGATCCCATAATGTCTTGAGACGAGTGTAGTACTCAGACAGAGACAATGTACCTTGACGCAAATCCTGAATCTCTTGAGTAAGATTATATGTGCGTGGAAGATTAGTCAGATTGAAACGACTGTGAAGATCACGCCATATATCCGAAGCATCATTCATACGAAGAATACTTCGATAAATCTGAGGAGAAACAGAATTAAGCATCCAGGATTTGACCATGCTATTACATCTGGACCACAGACGAAAATTCAAATCCGTTTCTAAAAGACGAGTGAGAGTTCCATCTATGAATCCAGTTTTGTTCTTAGCATCTAGAGAGATAAGCAAGCAACACTCCAATCACCATAGTTCGTTTCATCTAAGCGATGAGAGATGATATTTAAACCTGGATGATCGGCACTATGCATGAAGAAAGGAGATTGAGTCGGATCTGGAGATTCCGATGTTGTTTGAGCTCGCGAAGCTCTAGAAACATTAGATCTAGTAACTGGAGGAGAATTCGGAGGTGAATCAACAACGCCGGTGGATCGCGACGGCTTCCGAGTAGCAGAACTTGTACCAGACTTCGAGCGAGTGGATTTTCGTTGAGCACGAGCTACAGTCACCATTGGATCTAGAGATTAGACAACGGAGAAGAAGAATCTGAGCTCGGAACGAAGAAATCAAGTCGAAATCAATGGAGTTTTGAGCTTTGATGGCTCTGATACCATATTACGATGAAAAAGAAGAGAAAAGTTTGTTACAGATATTTGTAAATGATTTTCTCATTATTGATTAATGATTACAGTACAAGTGTATTGATAGTATACAACTATACAGCTATACAATCGGTTAAGTTAAACCAACTAAGTAAACCTACTCAACCAATATACATAATCTGATAGTTTTCTAATAGAAAAATCTCAATTATATTTTAGCCTTACGTTTATAATCAGTGACATTAAGGTTTCTCATCATCTAGAAGCTTCATCCTCCTCCACCACCTCCCCAAGTGGTTTAGTTACCAAATGTTGATAACATTCGTAAATTTTGTAGCTGCCTTTCAGGAATAGATTCACCAACCCTGACATCTCATGGGGTCTCAATATCTCGCGTCTCGCGGGTCTTTCTTGCTTGGTGAAAACATACATGCAAGAGTATTGATCCATATCTTCTTTAAATGACATACGACGTACAGCTCTTTCTAGCTTCATTCGTTAACCAAGAGCAAACATTATGAGATGGCTCCATACCTGCTCTCAAATCCAATGGTCATAGTCAAGCTCATGTTCCAAACCTCCGTTTACTAGATTTGTAGGAAACCAACATCCATTCCCATCCAGGCCCGGTCCAACCAAAAAAATTTCAACTTCTGTTTCTTTTTAGATCCACTTACTAGAAAAGTGTTTGAACAATTTAAAGATTGATACATTGTAATAAGAGAATCAGAGATCCAAATGAGTTTAATCATCTATAATAAAGCAGCAATTTCATGTCATTATAGAGAAATAGTACCATGATACATCAACTCCACAAAACAAACAATTCTTCTGCAGCAAAAAGAAACAATTATCAAACACTTCAATAAGAAAAAGATTAAATCTTTCTCCCTCTCCTTTTCTCTCTGTGTTGTGTGAAGGATATTTCATCAACTAGAGCAGAGCAAGCTGCTGGATATCATAAGGATGAGCATCAGAAGCAGATTCTCTCTGAAAAGATCGACTACCGATGACAACATTCGCTGCTTCTCCTGGATGAAATGCGTCCCAGAACACAAACTCGTCCCTGTTCAGACATGGAGCTTGACCCGGGAGACAAGTTATCTGTCCATTGTTCCTCCCAACTCCACAACATCCCGCGTTTGTAACCCTAAACCCTGAACCATTTACAAGACGTCGATGAAACTATCAACAAAGTTTTCAGGCAACATTTGATAGAGTTTTGTTTAAGAGGTGTCTCTTACCATAGCGAGAAGGATTAGCTACCATGTCTTGGAAGATACCATAAGCATTAATGTAAGTGAACTTGGCGCCTGGTGTGTTTTGATTGAAATGATCAACCAGAGACACAAGCTTACTGTTGAAGATTCTGTTTGCAGAATTGATCCTTTCGTCACAAGTTACCCCGTCTCTACTGTTTTGAGCCAGCTCATTTGGACTGCATCCTATTGCGCCGATACCAACTAGCGCAAACTTCCTCGCTCCGTTGTTATACATTATCTAATCCATACAGAAAAAAACAGAAGTTCATATCAAACACAGAGAAAACAGAGAATATATAAACAGCCGACACAGGAAACAGAGTTCAAAGAAACAGAGAATATAGCAAATAAATGAACGGACCCGGAGTTGCTCGGTGTAGCGGTTTATGAGGTCGTTGGCATAAGAATCCGGGGAGTACTGGCTCCCAGTGGAGTAATAAACAGGCATAAAATAGTTATTGAGATAGTCGTTACTGCCTAACCCGATTGAGTAGATGCATTTACTTAGGTAATTAGCAGCTTCATTCTCGTCTCCGAGTATGTTCACAACTTGTGACACAGTGTTTACATGATTAGCTACTTGCCCTGCAAATGTTATTCTAGCTCCCTGAACCAAAGAATGGAAAGAGATTTATGTTTCCTAGTTGAAAAACTTAAGTCTAAATGATATGCATCAAACCAAAATTTAGTATTCTGTTTAAAGACTAAATTACCAATTGGCGACCAGTTTCTTCTCGAATTCCGGCAGCTGCAGAAGCGTAGTTTACTCCTCTCAGGATATCTTCTCCCCTTGCTTCGGAATACGGTGTAATGTAGTCATCGAAACCAAGAAGCTCGGCTTTTTAGATTTCCCGCAAACAAAAATCAAAACAGATAAAGTTAGTACTTGTGTTTGTTCAGTTACACGTTTTGTACCAAAGAACAGAAACGTAAACAAAGGAAAGGTGTTGTTATAAGATTACTGATGACATCGACGGTGGTTTTTCCGTTGGAGAACCGGCCGGTTGGACCGAACTGGAAGTCGATACCGTAAGGGAAGTAATTAGCTCTTGCTAAAGAGGTAAGCCGATTGTTGTTTCCACTATCAACCAAAGAGTCACCGAATATGAAGTAACATGGTGCTATTGGGTCACCCATAGCAATGTTCATAGCCATAGCCATAGCCATAGCCATCATCATTACACAAACTCTAGCCATCTCTACCCTTATCCGAAAAGAGAGAGAACGTGAAGAAGAAGAAGAGAGAGATTGGTCTGATAACGTGAAGAATGTAAATGGATGTATATAATAAAGGTCAGAAGAATATGGAGGGAATGACAAAAGAACCAAAAAAAAAAGTTTTGTGCTTTAAACAGTTGAAGAAGCATTAAATGTTACGCGGTGATAATGTTTATGTAGATATGTAAAAAGTAACTGTGTAAGTATGGATCTAAAGACAATTAATAATACTCTGTTTCTTACAGTATTTGGGACCAACTTGTGTGTCTAATCTGATCATTCTGTTATTATAGTTTACCAGAAAAAGTTGTCTTCAGAGGGAACCATATGTTTGGACATTTTAAGGATTAGAGATTTGAGATTTGAAACAAAGATTGAGATGGAGACAACGACTAAGTTAACCCTTTAGCTTATTTTTGCTACTGTGCCAAGGGATGAGACAGTTGGGTTTGTGATTGATGGCAAATTGTAAACAAATGATGAAATGTTAGGGCCACTTGCATAATCTTTATCATGTGTCCTGTGTCCTGGGAAGCAATTGAACAGCTCAGATTGATTCTGGTTGGGTTCAAATCGACGATGAAGAATGATGTTGAGGTATGTATTAATGGAGGTAGATGGAAGAAAACATTAAATGGCAAGAGGAGGAAACACTATGTCATGATGATGATCATCATGATTGACATAATGTGGTAGTTGGGATTCATAAATTCAGTGTCTTTTTGTTCATGCTTCTTCTTCTTCAGTGATAAAGTAAGAAAATAATCACTCTGGGAACAAATGGTGAAGTGTTTGTCCACAAAGATTCAACCTTTCTGTACTAATTAGCCACCAAAAGCATAAATAAGACGAATTGAGAATAGATTTGGTAAGTAATGAGAGTAGAGTGGACCAATAAAAAAAAAAAAAAAAACTTATAAATGAAATTGTTGTTATAATGTGACTTTGAGGTTTGGAGTCAGTGACTCATAAATTTGAAGCATGATCTTGTGGGGTTTTGTGACAGAGCAAATAAGTTAAAGCAGCCATGCTGGATTCTTTTTCAAAATAAAGAAACATTTCAAAATATAGAGAACAGAGAAAATGATCATATCTACTACACTACCAACCACATGCAAGGAATTATGAACGCTATAAAGCATGAGTGTCATTGAACACTGACAATTCATCGGTTTTACTAATGGGAGATTCTTTTTACCATCTTCTTGATGAATTTACAGTTTAAAGATTACAATCAAAAGAAAAAACTTGGGGGTAACTTCTACATATACATGTGTGTAGGTGTGTGTTAATGAAAATGAAATCACCTATCTTCAGAGGAATATCTTTTGACTCTAACCCTTTCACCATTGAAGTAGATGTATTTGAATTCAGAGAGGTACCTCCTAAGGATCAGTTTCCTATTTTCTTCTTGGCCGAGTTCCCTGAAGGCTCGAGCCACTCTCCTCGCAGTATCTTCGTCTGGCCTCACCTTCAGCTCCTCCATGTCTGCAAACACCTAAAAGAGAAAAAAAACCGAAAGAAAGTCTATGTAAAAACCAAGTCATACTACTTGCAAGGAGACGTAAGTACCTTCAGGATTATCTAAAGAGTAACACTAAGATCAATTCTCGAGGAAAGAAAGAACCTTGTTTTACCTCGATAACCTTATCGTGAAGGTCATAGTGAGCATACAAAGCTATCATCCTAGCGAACAAGCGTCTTGGGATGGATCGTGTATGTGTGTGCAGAATCATGTTCCATAACGATTCTGCCTCGTCAGCTCTTTGGTCCATATCAAATGCCAATAAGAGGGTATCATATGTTCCCATTGTAGCACCTTGCCCTTTGCTTAACATCCACTTAGCCAACTGAGTTTGTCACTAAACCAATCAACTCAGGTACCATATTTAGCAAAAAGTTACACTTGACATAAGAAGTTGTGTTACTTACTTGAATCACACGATGCCACTGGCTTCTCTTCCTTAAGATTTGCAAAGCCTTAGCAGCAGCAATAATAGGAAATTCAACCTCCCAAGCTACCCATTTGTTTAAAGCTCCATAAACAGCCTCTTTTTCATTTGGGAGTCCAGAGAGCTGCCAGTTGAGAGTTATACATATCAACATGGACTACTTTTATTATCGTTTCATTTACGAAAAACATATTTTTGTAACAGGATTTTCCTCACTTATACCATTCGGACTAAATTAAGTGCTTTCTGTCCAGACCCAGCAGAGTCATTCTTCTTCCATAAGTGATGCTCTTTCTTCCCCACTTTCTTTATTTCATTGCTACAATATCAACATTCAACACAAAAAAAAACTTACTGATGAATCAATAAGAACAAACAATGTCAAAGAATACTCAAGAAAGATATGCAACCAAACATAAGATAAATTTACATATATCACTTGTCATGTAACAAACAACAAACCTGTTCACAGTGGCTACATCCAATTTCCCGGCTTGCTTCTCTGAGAACTTGAAAACAATATCACCATTATGAAATGTTGTGATTCATTTCACAAGAATCATATGAACCAAGCTAAAGATAGATTATAGCCATTAAACAGAAAGTAACTACAAACACATATGTTTACCTTTGACCTGATGCAAAAACCAAACCTTTTCGTCTTCAACTTGGAGTAACTTCCACAACTTGGAAATTCAAGCAACGAAAAGCATCCAAATTCTTGAGGTTTCTGCAATTTTAAGATTTCATATCTGAAAACATAAATACAATCTGAAACAAAATTTAATGAAACCAAATCTTATCTTAAAAACTGAAATATTTGATGGAGAGTACACAAAGGAACTCACTGATAATCCTTGAAACGTGAAGCCTCCGAGAGTTGGATTGAAGTTACAGAGCGCCATTACTGTCACTTCCAGTACCACAAACGAAGAACTGAAATTTACGAGAAAGTAGCCATTATGAAAATGTAAAATTTTGAAATTCGAGTTGTTGAAGATTAAGGGAAAAAGGTGGAACCTTTCCTTAAACAGAGCAAATTTGAACGCATTCAGAGAGTTACACGATGATCGATTGAGTTTGAGAGAGAAGAAGCGATTTAGGGATTCTTAGTAAACCGAGGCAAATTGGTTTCACCAATAATTACAGAACCGGTTCATAATCGAATGAATTTCAACCTTGGATTGTGGTGACTAGAACGTGAATATATTAATGGGAAAAATGTCGTTAAAATCCCCAATTTATTCAAAATGTTGATTTAAATCCTCAACTCACGACGAAACGAAATAAATATCAAACTTATGTTGACTTTCCAAATAAATATTAAACTTATGTTGACTTTCCAAATAAACACCAAACTTTCATTGACTTGGCCATATTAGGCATGACGTTAAGTGAGTTAACAGACAATGTTAACGGGATTAATTCTCTGTTAACAGACCCGCTAATTAAAAATGACAGTATTGTTGAACTATAATCAAATCTCATCTAAGTCATATAACCTAAATTCGTATTCATATAAATTAGTTATTTACGTAAGAGTCACGAATGTACGTACGTATAATTGTGTCTGTTCGTAAAGTTGTGTCTTTTCGATTAACACATGTACGTATACGTTGTTTCGTGTTGTATAAGTAGATCGAGTCAAACTCAATAACATCATTGTGTGTAATACATTTTATCTTATCAATAAAGATCAAGTTTCTTCATACTCTATTTTTCATTTTGGTTTTGTTCTACATACTCTGTTAAAACAGAGTTCGTTTGTTGATCAAAACACTAACAAGTATTCCTTCTAAACATAAAACGACGTTGTTTTGTCGTAACTGTTCAATAAAATCCCGAGTTTCAAATCATACTCTATTTAGGGTTAGGGATTTTGCTCGATTTGGGGATTTAAGATTGTCTTTAGGGATTTAATTCAATCGTTACGACAAAACGACGTCGTTTTGTTGTTATATGAAACAATATCGTTATCAATTAACATATATGTTAACAGAAAATTACATCCGTTAACGAGATCTATTAACCCACTTAACGTCGTACCTAATATGGTCAGGTCAACGGAAGTTTGATATTTATTTGGAAAGTCAACATAAGTTTGATATTTATTTGGAAAGTCAACATAAGTTTGATATTTATTTCGTTTTGTCATGAGTTGAGGATTTATTAACCCACTTAACGTCGTACCTAATATGGTCAGATCAACGGAAGTTTGATATTTATTTGGAAAGTCAATGAAAGTTTGGTGTTTGTTTGGAAAGTCAACATAAGTTTAATATTTATTTGGAAAGTTAACATAAGTTTGATATTTATTTCGTTTCGTCATGAATTGAGGATTTAAATCAACGTTTTGAATAAATTGGGGATTTTAATGACATTTTTCCCATATATTAATGGGCCCTATTTAGACCAATCCAGCCCAACAGCGACTAACGAGTTATTATTAAAAATTCGACCATACTTTATTTTTGTTTGTCAAATAGCATAACTTTTTTTTTTTTTTTTTTTAATTATGTCGAATGGTCTATTAGACAAAAATTTAGTTGGGTAGTAAAAGCCGGAATACCACTAGTTATAAGTTATAACAAAAAAAAAAACTAATTCACTTGATTTGAAATTAATTTTTCAAGTAATATATTAATTTTTTATCTGTATATTATTTGAGTTATTAGTACTTGGTTATTTAACTCTATTTTCATATAATGTCTCAAGCTTTTCTAACTTATCTTACTTCCAATTACTAGAAAATGAGATGTGGATTTCCATGTCGGTAAGTTTAGGAAAAAAAGGTTGAATAAGATTTCTTGAAAAAGAATTAGCACGACCAAGAAAAAGCCTCTAAGCAACATCAACGTCGATGTAATTAAGAAGGTCCCATACAATTTGATATTGAACTAATCAAGGAAAGGAACACCTTATCTCGATTTCCACCTCTCACCCAATCAAATGTCTGTCTTAATATCATCTAAACTCATTTGGAGTTAATCATGTTGCCTTAAAGATCGATATGACTCATGCATGTTATGATTTAAAACATTATTTAAGTACATAGTTATCTAAGTATGTATCAACTATCAAGACCTCAATGCAGGATTCACAAAATTCTCCAAAATAAGATTTTCCTCATTGTGATATATGTATATAGAGAAGGTGTTAAGATTATGACTAATTGAGTAGAAAATATAAGAGACATATACCAAGACATTATTCGAGAATATATATAACAACATGCATACGAAAACCATTTGTACATAGAAGTAAATTTTCTCTGGAAATGATCAAATGGACCACTAAGAGTAGGAACCACACTTGTCCAAAGGTACCCAAAATTTTGGCTAAGTCATTGTCTTTAGCACAAAACTATGCATCTATTATTACCCCAATTCGTCCTATGTCCAATTCATTCGACTCTATCTGTCTACCTCTTTGTCCATTTTTCATTGTCTCTCTTCAATTTAATATGTCTAGTAGGATATGCACGAATTTCAGTTTCACCGAATTGTTCCAACACTGAACTAGATCTTATTTAAGGCCGAACTGTTTCAACATTGAGTTATATTACTTAAATGTATGAGCGATGCAGATGTATTTATAGTAGTATTTGTTTTGCTCTGATCATATAAAAACACAACATATCATTATTAATACAAAATTTTCGTGTCATTACAACATACATTGTTAGAAACGAAAATGGTCACGCCGGGCTTAAATATTAACTATGTTTCTCCAATTTGGGAAATTTTATCTCAAAACAAGTTGTTAAGCCATCTAAAATGTAAAAAAAATTAAACTATACTCCCTCCGTTTCATAAAGAGTGTCGTTTTAAGGTTTTATTTTTGTTTCACAAAGAGTGTCGTTTTAGGTTTTCAATGCAAAATTTAATGATTTTTTATGTTTTATGACTATTAGTATTCTACAGATTGTTTTACTATTAGGCAGATTATGTTTAGGTATATAGTTAATGATGTTTTTGTTTAGAAAAAACAAAAAATTTAATGTTTTCTTAATCTGTGTGCAAAACTCTAAAATGACACTCTTTGTGAAACAGAGGGAGTATATAGTTTGATAATTAATACACTCTTTTAAATTACCATTTATGTTACCATTATACTTGCTTCGCGTTAATCATATTGTTTAGCTTATTATATCCATTTTTGCACACCAATATTTTTTTCTAGAAATAAAAAATTCTCGTTAATCCTTTTGTAAAATTCAACATCTTAATTGAGAATTATAACTATATGATAGGTGGATCACTCGATCACTTTCAATAACCCTTTTTTTGTTAAATGTACTCCTCAAGGCATGTCTTTCTCGCTACTAGTTTTCTTTCAATCTATCCAAAAAAAAAAAAACGCTTGCCTTTTCGACAAATTCACGGATAAACTTGTTTGTCAACAAGATGTAATTAAAATGGCATTAACAACAAATCATAATTTCGTGGAATCACTCAGCCAAGAAAAAACCATTAAAAGTATAAATGGTTCTTTCATAATTCAAGGAAAATTTTGATATATTTCACATTTGACTTTATAATACCTATTGATATTTCTTTTAATAAAAAAACTGGCAAACTAGATACCTTTGAAAGTAATAATTTGAAACATAGACACATTTCATAAATAATTAGCAAAATATATATTTTTCTCTCTCTTCCTGTAATAGAAATCAGAGAGTATTTTGTGTAATGACATAGTTACTCTTGTTTGTTGTTTACTACACATATTCTCTTTCTTATTTTCTCTTTTTTTTTTTTTTCTCTTTCTTCTTTTCATTTTAATCTTTTTAGTTTGTTTTGTTAAAAAAATTTCATAAACTTTTTTTTAACCATAATAACATATTAATTTTTAATTTTTTTATGTGAATCTTAAAAGTTTAAATTAGCTATTTTTATGTGAATTTATTTTTTAATCTCAATTTGAAGGTGTACGTGATAATGTTAAAAGTGATATACATGCGGTAGTGTACGACAATAATATTAGTTTGTATTTCATGATCTTACATTAGTTTGTTTCCTTGAGCATCGATCAATGTCAATATGCAATTGAAATATATCAAGATTAAAAAGAAAAAGAGTGTTTTGGACAAAAGAAACTCCGGAAGAAGTTAGACATTATAAAGCTAATAATGGACGCAATGGAGAAACCAATCTTCTAAGGGTTTAAGCCTTGTTCAAAAAATCGCTAGGCGTTAGTCGGGCGTTCAAGCTGGGCCTAGTGCCTAGCCGAAAAATCGGAGATTAAGCGGGGATTAATCGAGGATTAGTTTTTAATATTTTTTACTTATATATTGTATATATATTATTCTGGCGGATTGAAATTAATAATGTTAGATGGTCCTGTGGTTGAAAGCGTTTTTCCTCATTTTCGGGTGGCGAGTTCGAGTAGACGTAGTTACATTTATGTTTATTTTAGGTTTAATTGATAATGAATGACCAAAATACCCTCATCTTCAACCTTTGAAAAACGAGATCTGTAACCCTAAATCCGCCGCCACCTAACTTTTTCTTCATTTTTCATTGTTTCTTTTTGTTTCTTCTATTGTTTATTGCTAGATATGCTTGATCCATCAACTATATATGAATTAAAACCTTCAAAAGAACAAAAAATCAAGTTTTTTCAAAAATTCCGATTTTTAAGCCGATTATACCATAATCCCGATGGTGCCTTGCCGCCGAGCGACTAGCCGCCGCGAAATCGGCCGCCTTGGCCGTGTTTTTGAACAAGGGGTTTAAGTGTTTAACAATGGGAACTCAAACTTTGATTTATCCCTTTTTCTTCTTCTCCGAAAGCAACAAATCAATGATCAGCCGTTAATTAACGCGGCCACGTAATCGCGTGAAGGAGAACGACGGCAGTTCTGGATAAACAGACACGTGGCACCGCCGGCACACGCTAGACGGAAGCTTTGTGACGTTAACTTCGGCTGACGTTAAGCTTGTTATCATCACGACACGTGTTAGCGCACACATGTGGGTTCTCATGTTTTTTTCTGTGATTATACGATTTCATATTTAAGCTATGATTAAGTCGTAGAGTTTGCAATCATTGAAGAAATTTCGTTTTAATGATAGTTACTACTAGTAAATAATTGTGATGGTACTAATTACGTACACATACGCAAACGCAATTATTACTCCCAATGTCCTAGAAGATTGATTTTCTAGAGATTTCACATATTTTAAGAAACAATTATTGTTTAATTATTTATTTTTATTAAACATTTTTAATAACCTATGAACCAATAGTAATCTGAAACAGTTAATCATTACGTCTTGAAATCTACGAAAATAAACTAAAAATAAAAAAAATCTAGAAAATCAATTTTTGTGGAACAAATCAAAACGCTAGAACATCAAACTTTTAGGAACAGAGGGAGTATAAAGCAAAATGATGTGAAAGTGTAAATAAAGACTTGCGTAGTTCACGATAATCACATCCTTAATGATTAATTAATAATGAAATCGAATCCCTTGACTTCACTCAAACACCTTCACGATGACATCATGTGATGTAACAAAAGATATTAGTTAATACTTACACGTTTATATACACATATACTTGTAGGTGTATATATACGTGCAAATCATGAGATTCTCTTTGTGATGTCTTGGTCTATATAAATTCCATTTTTTTCCTTTAGTTTTTTCGTTTTTTTTCTACCACACTCTTCAATCAAATCATATATATCCAAATTTTTCCCTTACTTTCTTGGCAAAAACTTTACGATCTTTCAATGTCAGAAGAATTTCAAGAATCCGAGGTTATTTTTTCCGATGAGTCTTTCACAAGGAAACATAACAAGAGTCACAACAACGAAAACTACGAAAGAAAGTCGACGGAGAAGGATAAATATTCATCTCCGGTGAGAATTCCGTCAAGAACTATTTTCCGGTGTACGGAAGATGTGGAGGAGGAGGGAGAAATGACACCACCACATGTCATAATCGAGAAACGAAGAAAGGAGGCGCAAATGGCGTTTTCTTTTTGTACCCTTAAAGGAAGAGACTTGAGTCGACACCGTAACACCGTTCTTAGGATGACCGGTTTTTTGGAAGTTTAGTTGATCCCAAAACAAAATGAGAACCGGTCAAGTTTAATTTGATCTATTTTGGTTCGGTTTACGTCGTCTTTCTTCATTTGGATGTAAGATTTAGCTTTGAAACGAACCAAGTAATGTATCATGTTTTACACGTATAACATGGCTTTGAAACGAACCAATGTATCATGGTTCTTATTATTTGGTGAAGAAAAAGTTTAATATTGGGGAACTTTTCCCATATTTTATCAGGTAAGTAAGATGTTGAATTTCCGGTTAACTTAATTATTAAATTTCAGTTTAAAATTATTTTGGTTTCTTGAGAAGTTATGATAAATTGAGTTATGGGTTTGCTTGAGAAGTAATTGATTTCTTCGCTTGTAAATTTTGTGTTTGGTCCACATTCATGGGAGGAATCTGCAATTTGCCAATTTGCTTGCTAACGTGAGCTGCAAAAAGCTTTATTTGCTATTGTAAACTGAACCGAGGGAGAGATACCTTGGAAAATTCCGGCTAAACATTGATAATATTAATTATTTGCTTAAATAAAACAAATTGATAAATTAAAAATTAGTTTGACTTCGGATAAATATATTGTCCAACTTTGTATACATTAGTCTAATCAACATGTAACCTTATTTTATATTATGGAATTTTACATGTCATCTCTATTGAGACTTACCTTAAATTTTGATGAAATTTCAAAGTTTGCTGACAATTTATTTACTCAGATTAGTTCCACTAATCCTATTCCTAGTATATAATAATTTGTATATCGAACAGTACTTAATGTATTACTTTATAATTATTTTATTCGACGTATATATATTTATCATAACTTCATAAGCCGAACACTCTTCCGACTATGGTTAAATAGTTAATATTCTTCTTTTTTTTTTGTCACACGATAGAAATAGTTTGATTTTTCTACAATTTTTCTCTTTTTGTATTTTTACGTGATTTTTTTTGTCAACAGGTTATAAATAGGTTAAATTTCATTTTGTATAGAGACATATACATACCAAAAAACTTCATAGCCATCTCAGCTTTACCAAGATAGTAGGATTGCTGAGCTGTGTTTTCTAGTTACGTTTACACTACGCTGATTTTGTTTTCTTGTTTTTAAATAGAAAATACCCAATTTCCTACCACATTCTGATTTTAATGTTTGAATAGTTTAGTTCATTACAAATTTGTTAGAGAACAAAAAAAAAACTTAAATAAAACGTATATGACAATTGACCATTAATTTGTTTTTTTAACAGTATCTGACAAAGTGACAATCCTTTTAGCTACGACTTTGCCAAACAAAATCGAATTATAACTTTGACAAGCTTTGCTAATTAAATATTCTAACCATTTGACCCAAAAAAAAAAAACACTCTCACCACCATCCTTTAAAAAACAAATGGAGGAGTGATTTTCTTCAAACTGTCGTTATATTCTTAAAAAAACATTTTCAGATACTAAAAAGTTTAATATAAGTTACAAGAGAAACATCATTTTATATTTTCTTTATATACGATATAGATGTATGAATAGAACAGAAAATTAGAAGGAACAAAAAAGCAATTATAAAATCAATAAGAAAAAACTATATAATGAAAAAAAAACACTATTATACATACTCGGTAATAAATTCAACTAACTTAATGTTAATGCTATAGATCAGCCGATACAACCGGCGTGGACCGATTCCGTCGCCGTCTCTTCCTTGCTTTATGCACTTTAGGATGACTACCACCAAACTTTAACCGTCCAGTATCCCTAAACCGGTTCTTTTCAGCCGTCACAATAACACACTCTGGCGGAGGCACCGAGTATCGAATGGTGTCGTAACAATACGAATAATACATATAACGTTCTCGGAACCGTCGCATAGCGGCTGCTTGTTTAGGACTAATGGTTGAGTAGTCGTTGGTCATGAGAAATTGGTCGGAGACAGAGCAATTAATGTTATTATAATTACCGATGTTGTTGTTGTTGATTTCTCCTGGAAGTGAGTCAGAGACATTACAACCGTCGAGCGCTATATCTTTGAATTCGGAGACAAAAGGTGAATATGTATAATCGACGCCGAATTTTCCACCGGAAGTAGCCCAGCTTGAGGCGTCCCAAATGGTTGCATATAGAGACATTGGTTTTTGAGGATAGTCTCCTTCCATTTCTTCTTTTCTTATGATTTCTCTTATTGGTACATCATCTACCCAAAATCTGCAAATAACAAATTAACCAACATTTTGACATGTCTTAAGAGATTTTATTTTCTAATTATACAGCTCACATTGTGATATTAATGTTTATAATTTTCCTGGCTAAAGCTAGTTTTATGCATGTCTCTCTCTTTTTCTTTTTTTGACATATGCATGAGTCTTCTTCAATCTTAACGAAACTATGTTCGTTTTTCTTTTCTTTCTATTGTTATCTTATTAAAATTCAAACTGAACCTTTCTAAATATAATGTGAATGATAGATTTGATTAAAATATTAAGATAGTTTTTTTTTTTTGAAAAATTGAATCGAAACTGATATATATATATATATATATATATATATATATATATATATATATATATATATATATATATATATATCTCTATATGTACCATATTTGGTTATTATATCATTTTCCTACACTTAAATCCAAATTGTACATCGTTAAATGCGTGTAAATGAGACCAAACCAATAGTGAAATGAAATCTGTGTTTGCCGTGTCAATTTTTGCGTTGACTAAACTATATGTGTACTATCAAATCAATTCATAAACACATACATCATCTTTCTCATAATCGGAAAGTCCTTAGAGATCACCTAACTAATTATGGTTCTTCTTTTTTTAACAATCCAAACAATACCATTTTTATTCTCATCTGATATTTTTTAAAAATATTAAATGATCATAAATAAAGAGAGAAAGAGGAAACTAACATAATTTTGGTAGGGGTCCAAAGGATGCTATAACGGTGAAACTCCTTGGAAGGATCAAACCAAAGACGGTAGCGTTCTTCGCGGCCGCGGTTTGTGCTACCGTTTCCATACATATTCGTTTGAAATCGCCAAGGCTTTCCTTCTAGGTTCCCTAAAAACTCTATGTCTAGTTCGTCATGGTTCTTCACAAACACATCGCCATTTGATGTCTGCATAACCTCATTTACAAATTGCACACGTTAATTCAATCAATTTTTTCAGTATATGTTTATAAATTGTTTGATAATCAAATTCAGAAAATTAGTGATTTACATAGAAGGCGACGACGATACCAGCCGTGTAAGCTCCTGGCAACTTTATCAACGAACTAAAAAACCCATGTTGATACATGCTTGAAGAGATAAATCCGGACCCTAATCAAATTCATTTTATAAATTATGAGTGATTTGATCAGTGATCACTACAAGATAGTAGAAATAAGAAACTGGAAAAGAAACTTTGCAAAATTGAAAAACGGTGGCATGAAGAAAATTCATCTATTCTATCATTCAACTTACATAAAGAAATAATGATTGACTATATATATATATATATATATATATATATATATATATATATATATATATATCAAGATTTTGCAAAGTTTCATGTTTGATGAAAGACTGTATAATGGCATCATCATGTTACGAGTCTTCCCCGATCACATTACTAAACCTATCCATTTTTATGTTCATGCAATTCACAAATTTATAAATACAAAAAAACGTTATATAATACTAGTATACTACATAGGATCATATGATCATTTAAAGACAAGAAAATTACCAGTGTATTTGTCGAGGAGTAATCGAACGCTACGATCATCAGGAGATCGGATGAGATTACCTTCACCAAACAAATGAGAAAGACCTTCATCGAAGAATATCGGATTTATGTTCTCCAATCCTAAAACACATCTACATGATATGATCATCACCATCATAATTATTACTATTAATCGATTATTAATCCAGAAAAAATAGATTGAATCTCTCATAACTTTGTTCTATTTTTGTTTCAAATCCAGAAAAAATGAAGAAGAGAAAATTGGTTAGCTTTCTCTTTCTTTGTATTGTCTAAGATCTTTGTTGTTGTTTATGTTTTCTTACGATGCGTCAAAGTGGGAAAGAGAAGACCATGGAATGGTCTAAAGTTTTGCTTCTCTCCTTCTTTATATTTGTTAAAAAGCCATTTGTTTTCTTAGTTATCTACGGAATTGCCACTGATTTTTTAGATTTTAGTAGATAATAATAGTAAACTAGAGCATACCAGATTATATATAATAATTGAACAAAAAATTGACATGATAAGTTTTTAAGATATATAAATTCTAGATTTGATCCATATTTATCTTTATACAGTAGATAATTTGAGTAAAGGTCAGCTCTGATGTAAACAAACAAATTCAGATACAACTTATTATATGATAATTTTCCTGAAAATGTATTTATTTATTATTTTCATCATTTTTATTAGGATGAAGATAAAAATATTAAATTAGTGAAATAATCCAAAAGAAAATGTAAAATTTCTTAAATTTTAAATTTATTGGTTTTAAAATAAGTAATTATTAATTAAACTTCAAAACAAGTTAATAATAATAAAAAAGACTAATTCTTTATATATATATATATATATATATAACTTGCTATCATTATCTATTCTAAACATTGTTACTATTGATTCTTTAACATCAATAGTAATAAATGTAACTATTAATTACTTGTTTGATAGCACTAAAGAAGTTAAAGAATCAATAGTTACATTTACTACTACTAGTAGTTACTCAATTAAACTAATTTTTGTTTTGATAAAATCTTTATTGGAGTGAAAGAATGGATTATGGAAAATTTCCATTTATCCTTTATTTCATTTTTTTTCAAAATAAGTTTTTCTCTCCGCGTTTTTTGCTGACAGGAAAAAACTCACAATCGGATAGCTTGGACTACACGAAGCTAATTTGTTATATATATATAAACGGTGGCACTCTTCTATGGACTTGTTCTGATCAAACATTCTGCGAAAGTGCGAATTCAACAACACAGCGAGCGAAAGAAAATATGAGTCACGAAGAGAATATGTAATGCTTTCTTCTTCTTCTTCTTCCTTTGTTTCTATGAAAAATAGGGTTTATGTATAGAACTAGGGTTTCCAAGTTTCTTTTCTTGTGATTCTGTAGACTTCGTCTCTGTATGTGCGATTACAATACTGAGATTTAGGGTTTTGGATCATCAATATTAAATTCGATCCATAGAAACATAGCTACTTGAAAGTTTGATGAACACGATACATCGAAAATATGGTCTTCACATTATCTAGGGTTTTTTAACTTTTTCCTTGTTCTTTCTATTTATCCGCAGGATGCAAGAGTTAGATGATTCTAACGATGACTGGGTGAAAGAACTTGAAGAAGTTCTCGAGGATAACGAGGAATCGAAATTCACAGGGAGGAGATTAGTTAAAAAGTCGATTTCTGTTCCTGAATTGGTAGATGAAGTTGACGAAGATCTTAACGATTTTATGGAACCTGAGGATGATTTTAGTGACAAAGTAGGGAAGAAGAGACAGAGGAAGAAAAATGAGTCTGTTCTTGAGAAGACGAAGAAGAAGAAGCAAAATTCCGCAGAGGTTCAAGAGATGTGGGATTCAATTACGAACGACAACAACTCCAAGGTTTGTTTGTTGTTTGAATCTTTGGCTCATTGTTTTGTTTTCTTGAGATAATAAGTTTGATTTTCTATGTCTTTATTGTTAACCAGGATGGTGATAAAGTCGTAGTAAAACGTCCTAAGAAAAAAGATGAGGATGCTGAGGAGATAGCCAAATTGTTCAGTCTTAGGAAAAAGAAGAGCAAGAGCAAGAGCGATAAAAACGCAATGGAGATTGCGATGCAAGTAGAACAAGTGATGGCGAATCTTGAAATCGCTGTAGAAGACGACGTAATTCTAAACAGAGAAGGAAAACCCGCTATTAATAAGCTCATGAAGTTACCTCTTCTCAATGAAACTCTCTCAAAGTAAACAAGATTCATCAAACTCTTTTAATCTTTAAGTGATTAAAATTCTCTATCTTTGACTGAAGTTTTGATCGCTCTGGACTTTTTTGGTTTAACAGGAAACCTCTTCAAGCTGAGTTCTTAGATCATGGAGTACTTAACCTTCTCAAGAATTGGCTCGAGCCGCTTCCTGATGGTAGCTTACCAAATATAAACATCCGCACTGCCGTTTTGATGATTCTTAACGATGTATGAACCTTTCTCTCTCAATCCATAATCATAAGCTCTAAATATGATTTACTAAGAAAGACCTCACCTTTGTTTTGTTCTGTGTTGCAGTTTCGTATCGATCTAGATCAAGACTCTAGAAGAGAACAGTTGATCAAGAGCGGTCTCGGGAAGGTAAAATAGCAAATCGAAATCCTGCAAACGATCAGACCATAAAGAAATTTTGCTTGTTGAGTTAACACTTCTTTTTCTTGTTCCTGCAGGTCATAATGTTCTTATCAAAATCAGATGAAGAAACCACACCTAATAGGAGACTCGCTAATGATTTAATCAACAAATGGGTATGTATAAGCAGTTTTTGAGGTTTCATTCTGTCATTACTCGTTACTCACCTCTGTTCTTGATTTGTAGGGCCGTATCATTTATAATAAGAGCACAAGATATGATAAGATGTTTAGTCAGGAGGAACTTGAAGAGCAACGGCAAATGCTATTAAGAAGACAGATCAAGACAGCTCCTAAGGTGTCTGAAACAAAAGCTCGAAACTTTGATACAGATCTTGACCTTTATGTGTAAGTTTCTCTTTGTTTGGCTTTGTACCATCATCTCAGCTTAAAACAATTTTGTTTTTGGTAATCTGATAAATCTATGGGGGAAAAAACATGCAGGAAACCAATATCCAAGCTAGGACCTTGGACAGGAAGAGCAAGAGCGAAAATACCAACAGCATTATCGATGGACTTTAAGATCCGTCCTCCACCGAAGGTTGACAAAGAACCTGAAGCTTGTGCCAAGTGGGAAATGGACAAAAGACATAAAAACGTAAGTGTCCTGCATTAACAGATAGATGATCACTACTTGCATTGCATCATGATGGTTTTCTGCATCCATGACTATTTTTGATTTGAAAACTAACAGAAAATATGATACCTTTGTGACAGCTAACCGAAAAACAGAAGCAGCGAAAGATCATCAGGAAAAAGGGCATGCAAGCATTCAAGCTTAGTGTAGACGGACGCACTATGCTCAAGTACTTGTAGAGATCATTACCAGAGATGTTTTGGACACATCAATTGCAAAATCCATGGCGAATTTCTACACCCATTGTGTTTAGTGTTTATGTAAAGAGATTATTCTTATTTTATAGAACTCAAAAGTGTGATTATAGAATTGAGTGTTATCAAAAACAAAAAGAGTTATTTATCCATTTGGTTCATAAGATTTTTCCAACAGAAATTATTACCAAAAGTTTACACAGAGTAGCATCAGACAGAGAACTTGACGCCTTCATCATCTGCTGATGTTCCCTTGAACAATGCAAGCTTGCCCTTGTTCTCTAGAAGCTTTAAAGCCCTCATTAGAATCGTCCGATCGATCCCTTCAAGTTCTGAAACATGAAAGATAATATTTGGATCGGATTTCACATCGTGAGACACAAACAAAATCATATCAGAAAAACTAGAATTGAGTTAAATACCTGTTCCAAGTGATTCTGTCCCTGAACGTATTTCTTCAACAGTCATAACACTGTCCTCTAATCCATTATCTCTCACCTGATAGAAGATGGTACATGACATCAATTAGAGAAAACCGATTTTTGAAAGTTTCTTTGGTTAATTCACATGTGAACTCACAAACTGAAGAATAATGTCTGCCCAATCTTGAATCCGGTGCCACAGAATCAGACATTTCCTATGCCCTTTATCTAACCACTCCGCACGCCCTGTCAGTAAATAAAGAATAACACATTCAAATGAAACCATGAGATTAAAAAAAACCTCATTCTATCACCGGATCATGAATTCATAAAACCGAGAAAACACAAACCGCTTGAATGTCTCAGAATCTAACCTTCTCCAACAATGGCTGAGAGAAATGTTTCCCTTGCTTCATGACTTAGAGATCCTACAAACCAAATGAAACTAAAGCTTTAAAACACTTCCCTTGAAAACATAGAAAGCAGCAAGATTAACAGCGAAACCTCAAGACTGAAGGATCTAAAGTTACAACAGCTTTCAGTGCTAAGATTTTAACCAGCCAAAGGCAACAATGGATCACATACTATCAATGGCAGAGTTTGAGAAGAGAGGGAAATCTTCTTCAATGCCAATCAAGAAAATCTTTTGAGATTTGCAGTAATCCAAAATAAGTTCTTTCCAGAGCTGTATTTGCTTCTCACGCGTGTCCCTCACAGGCTGCAAACTTGAAAAAGAGACAGACTTTTCTTCAATCCCACAATCTTTAAGACATATAAAAGGAGAAAAAAAAGAAAGAAACTTTAAAGAAGAGATTGATACGTGAAGTATGGAGGATAACTGAAGAATTGAGGAAGCTTGAAATTAGCCAATTTCTGCATCTTTGGACCTCAAAATCTATCGACAAATCAGTAACCATACAAACTATGAGAGCTTATAATCAAAAACAGAGCTCAGGGATTATATTCGCAAATATGCTATTGAATTAACGCAAAGAGCCATAAGGTAATCCCAAAATAGCTTTAAGCGATTCAAGTTACGAATTTGAAGCATTATTAAGAAATCGAATCACCAAAAACCCAACACTAGAAATCCAAAACCCAGAAACAACAATCAAAATCTATTGAATTTACAAGATTTTGTAGAAGAAGTCAGATCTGGGTTATGTCAATTCAACAACACATAACAAAAACCGATGATTCCCTAAAATCTATTCTCAGAAGACAGAACATTTAGAGAGCGAGCAGCTTACGAGGCAGACAGAGGTGAGTTTGAGTCTTTGAGACTTGGGAGGTGCTCTGTTTCAAAATCTCAAAATCGGAAACCAACGATGATGATAATTGGGTTAATGTGTTTTGACTATTTTAGCCTTAGCTTTTAAGAAGTTGAATTTGGATTCATTCCACTAATTGAGATTATGAGTTTTTGACATGTCTAATAA